AGATTATGGCTATAAGTTTAAGAGCTTTCAAAGTTTTACACTTTCAAACTGTTCTGACTTCTGAGTTCTGACACATTCTAATGATGTATGGGTCAAATTTCCATCTACTATATATATATTTGTATTGTATTCAATTCAGTCAATCAAGAATGTGGCACAGTGGCTGACACCAACAACACATACTTTGTGAATCCCAATTTCCCCGAGCCATTCAGTGCAGCAGGCAACTGTAGGTTGACAGTCAAGATGATCAACCCAAACATATGCCAATTGCGGGTGCACTTTCATGAGTTTTTGCTCACTGGGCCCAGTTTGGCAGCAGCTTCTGCTGGACAGTGTAAAGCTGACAGATTGATGATTTCTGGAACCAGAGGTGAACCACCACCACAGATTTGTGGGGTCAACCATGGACAGCACAGTGAGTATTAATGATTATTTTAAATAAGTGTTTTCTTACATGTATTCAAAAAAATTACATGCATGCTTTTCTTGTTGCTCCTTCTTTGGTACTGAAGATACTGTATATTTACTCAAATACCAAGCGCCCTTGAGTAAGATGGACATAAAGAGATTTGTATGATAACATTTTATAATTTTCCCTCATTTCAGTCCATTTTTTAAAAAACAAGCAGTATTTAGAAATCTGTGCAGTATTTTAGTCTCAAATGAATGCAGAATTCAAGTGTTAAAGTAACTGAAGAACTAGGTAATTTAACAATGTAGATGTTTATTTCTGGCAACTTTTGAAATATTGGATTTTGAAGAAAAGTCCAGAATTTTCTGTCAATTGACATAAGTATGATGCGCACCTAAGAATAACTTGTATGAAATCAAGAATTATTTAAGAAGAATTATTTTCTTAAATAATTAAAGCAAGAATTAAATAAATAAAACAAGAATTATTTTCTGGAACATTTTCATCTCTATAACTGGTTATGTTTCCAGTAATTGGACAAAAGTCTCATACATTCACAAATCTACAGCTTTTTCAGAGTTCACAGTCTTTATGCAAATTATTTTATATTATTTTTCAGTGTACTTGGACGTGAACAGAGACAGAGCACCTGTTTTATTCGACATCATGACATACGGAGGACAAATAAAACGCAAATGGAAAATCGAGATTTCGCAAATTCCTTGCGGAGAATACGTTGGTGAGCATTATTCACAGCCTTTTTATTGAAAATTGTTCGAATTTATTTCTATTTTTCAATTCTCGTTTTATAAATTTGAATTTTATTTCCTCATGAAGCCCCCAGTGGTTGCTTGCAATATTTCACATCCTTGTTGGGCTCAGTGAAGAGCTTCAACTTTGATGGGAGTTTGCACCTGGCGCATCAGCGATATTCGATTTGCGTGCGGATGGAGCCGGGATTTTGCACAATCGAATGGTCACCAGCAATGGATGAAAATGAGAACTTGATCGAACATGCTTTCACCATATCTGACACTCAGCCTAGAGGAGAACATTTGATCGCAGGTACAGTATATGCAGTATAAAACCAACTCACTACAGTGAGACCCTGAGATGCGGACATAATTGGTGCATCAAGAGTGTCCCTAAGTTGAATTGTCCCCAAGTCGAGTCTTGTTTTCCCTTAGATTTACATTATATAATTTTAAATTGGTGTTTTATGGAAGAAATATTCTTCAAAATTTCCTGAAAAAAATTGTTTGCCACTTGAATTTTAAATTAGTGAATACATTTTCAACTCAAGAACATTTGGAGCATTGAATAGTGTATCTCTGTACTGTACATTGAAATGCTGACAACTAAAAAAAAAAATTCAAGTCCAAAAAAGTAGAAGTCCCTCTATATGCTGGAGGTAATTTTTTAAAATTAGCTTAATGGATGGTAAATTGGTGAGAGAAAAGCCTAAGAACTTTTCTTACATCAATTTTAGGGTTGGAAATATCTGTTTCTCGTAATTTGGCCTGAAATGAATTTGAAATTTTATCACAGTATGCCCTTACGTTGAGTCAGTGTCCTCATTTTGGGCCTTTTTTATCAATTTTTTCTGGGAAAATAAGTGTCCCTATGTTGAATTGTCCACAGGTCAAGGTGTCCGCATGTGGGGGTCTCACTGTATATGCACCACCTTTTTGATTTTGCCTCAAAAATAAAATGAAAATTGTATGTTGCTGGCATAAGAAATTATCAAAGCATTCAAAACTAGTTAATGTTAACATGTCTCTGATATTCCACATCTTCCTGAGGGGGTCATAGATTTTTATGAATAAAAAACAAAATTTAATCTGAGCAGCAAAATGTTTTGAAAAAATGTTGTTTCAAAATAATATAAAATAGAAAAATACACAACTTTCAATTTGAAGGCATGATCTTTAAAATCGGTGGCTTTTAAAGTTTACATGCATTGAAGATAAATAAGTTCATAGAGGCATGTACAGAAATATTATACTGTATGACTCATTTACAATCTGCCTATCTGAAGAATTTGTATGTAAATTAGGAATGCTGTATCATAATTTAACACAAAATTACATTTTTAGACACAACATAAGAAAGAAGATGCATTTTGTGATTATGATGACAACTTATTTTTGACCTAAAGCAGTACTTCATTCACATTCCATGCAGTCACCTCAAGGGTGTGCAAATGATCACATTGCAGGTGACCGCATATATATTCATGGCAATAAAGGGTGTGATGAGGCATTATTCCTAATGTGCTCATTTGATGCATGGTATAATACATCACCCATTATAACCAAGGTCATATGAAGCAAGAATTATTTTCTGGGGAAAGGCACAGCATTCTAAGTTAAGAATGGTTAGTACTGTAATACAATCTAAAATTGTATAAGTGTAAATAAGAAGGTATATTTTGTGATTGCTCAGTTTTTCCTTGCAGCCATTTATCAAATCAAAATCTATTCTATTGTATTGCAATGACTTCAAAGTTTACTCTCATAATTTCAAGGGTGTGCATTACATATCGTATAAATGTTTACATTTTTCCATATGTTCAATTATGACATTTTTTAATCAATACAAAATTCAGCAGAAGTCCCAGTTTGAAACACTAGGGACATACAGTGATCGTATTTAAAAGTGTATTTAAAAATAATTGATGTATTTCATGGAGTTTTCCAGAAATTATCAATTTTTCTCCAGCAATTCTCCCTGTTTTTGAAGCAAGTACATTAGTTCTAAAATAGCAGTTACAGCTCAAACCTAGAATTGAAAAATCGTTTTAAAAACGCACAGATTTCTTTTAAAAGTACAGCATCTTCATTCATTTTTCATTGTGGAAAAATATTTATTTTTGGTGTGCTACATACTTTTGCAAACATTTGCTGAGAAACTGTTCATTTGTTTAATGATGTTTCAATATACAAGTCAGAAAAAAACTCTATTGAAGACAGTTCATTAATATTGAAAAACTTGCACTGCAATAACTATCTTGTTCTTCAAAAATGTTTAAAGGTTCATGGAGGGTTTGCTGTAAAAAAAAATTTCATTTGCATCAACCATATGTGATTACTCAAATTGTCTCTGCCTTTATTCTTTCTTATGTATAGGGACTGAGTTTGCAGATCCAAGGAGAAGAATTCCAGGAGGAAAACCTGTGTGGGCAACTTGCACAGGTGGACCAGGATTTGCAGACTATGTTTCAATCCCTTGTGGGTCACCAGATGGCGACAGGGTCTTCACATTATTGGGTCCCACTGGAGGAGACCAAGTGTCCTGTGCTCACAAATTCTGTGGGCAGGCACTGAATCATTTGAATGGTGCAAATGGATCCGTCCCTGTCATCAGTGAGTAGATATTTTTTGTGTACATAATTTGGTTGAAAATTATTGAAGAAATATATTTTTTCAAGGTTCAGTGAAGCCGTTTCAAATTGAAGTGCACTTCGATGGAAGTGAGAGTGAAGATGGCGGAGATGGAGGAATGCCCAACAGGGGTTTCCATCTGAGATGGACTCAGAAACCCTGTCAAGGATGATTGATTTGTTTCTGTTTCTGTTTATTATTGGGTAAAATCCATGTCTGCGGATCTCCGGTCCATTTATTTATTGCCTCAAGAAGCTGCATGCTTCAGTTGGATGTGAAAAAAAAAATTCGAAGACTTGTTTCTGAGTATTTTTTTTTCTTATAAAAAGCGATGATCTGCCGCTTCATATCGGCTGCTTTAGAATTATATTTGGATCAAAATATCAATGATATTTGTCAAGAAGACCGAAAATAGTTGCAGGAATCCACTTATTCAGCAGGCAGCAGTAAAGCATGATGTACACTTGTATACATGTATACAGTACAGTATAATCTTGTTACAAAGAATCTCATAAACAGTGCTAACAAAAAACTGCTTGCAACAAAGTTGCTTTTCAGGATCGCTGTCTAATTCCTACAATGTTAAATGAGTTGCTGAATAAAAAATTTCAGGTTACAAAAAAAAACTATTTTACTGCTGGTCCCTATATATTGCATTTTTGTGACAAGATATTACAATGCATCAATCTGCAGTACTCTTTTACTTGATGGGTTGAATGCAGCAGAAACGTGTTGGATAGAAAATTTGCAAGGACATTTTCTATGATGGATATGTACTAATTGTTCAAATGGTACCTCTCGCATTTTGAAAATTTTCTGCATTGATTTTGTCAGTGTGAAAAATGTTAAATCCTCACATAAGCAGTAAAATGAATATTGTTCTGTACATTGAAACAATTAAAGAAAAGACAGTCCTGCTGATGAAAACTTTGTGGAGAAGAAAAGTGCACAGGAATGGCATTTTTTTAGGGATGTGCAGACTTCTTTTGGTCATATATCAAGAGCATATTGATTAAATCCCATGCAAAAAATTCTTATTGTACATTGAGTTTTTTAAGCATCAGTAAATTAGCTGAAAAGACAGAGAATCAAGATAATTCATATATGCAGATCTAACTTCGAAATTTTGTCCAGTATTAATCTATTTTGAAAATCTTGTTATGATAATGTATTCAGTGTAACCATTTTTTTTTCTCAATTCCCTGTGAGTTTGTTGTAACGCGATTTTACTTCTATTTTGTGCTCAGGGTAATGTGTAATAATCTTCCCCACTTAGGGAAAAACATTGAAGAAACCAGCATGGGTGCTATTATTTTTTACTCGAAACGTCGAAAGGATAGGGAATTCCGTCGGCCCATTATCAACTTCCTCACAGGAAGCCTTCAGATTATATTTAGTTCGCAGCATATAGTATATTTGTCACGAACAACAGGCACTTCTTGAACATGTGACAGCAGTTTGAAGCCATGCTGAGCCTGAGCAGCAAGACTTGCTTTTTGATTCAATTCCTCACAATTCCATCAGTGTGGACTCAAAACACATTGTGCACAGAGAATGTGCTGTCAGAATCATCTCCATGCAGCTCTGTGACAAGAGCCACTATCGGCTCTCATCTCATGGAAAGAAGTGTATCACGCAGAGATTATCGCGCTGTGCTAAATTTGTCAAGGCACGGAATGCGACTGGATATAAACACCAAGAAAGGAACTCCAGT